CAACAAGCAAAAACTACAGCAATATCGACTGCAGGCTCTGTGGGTCCCTGTGCCAGAGGCCGTGCGGGCCTTGAAAGAACAGAGACAGAAAGAGAGAGAAAGAGAGAGAGAGAGAGAGAGAGACAGAGAGACAGAGACAGACCAACAGAAATATGTGTGTATAATATATATATATATATATATATACACATGCCTACCTACCCACGTACAAACCCATGCACAGAGGCAGCAAAGGCTAACACGTATGCCTATGCATACCCATATACAAACACATATAAAAAGGCATATACATATACATAATATGCAGTAGACTCCATAAAGACAGACAAACAGACAGACGGCAGACGGACAGACAGACAGACAGACAGACAGACAGACAGACAGACAGACGGACGGACAGACAGTCAGACAGACGGACAGACGGACGGGCGAACGGACAGACAGACAGAGAGAGAGACAGACAGACAGACAGACAGACAGACAGACAGACAGACCGACCGACCGACCGTCCGACCGACCGTGCACAGACAGACGTTGCCTGCAAACTTGTTCCATGAGTGTACACGGTCCCTGCATCATGGTTTAGGGCGGGCTGCGCCCCCATCGCATCCCTGAATGACCGAATGTGTTGCCCAGATGATACATGTTGGATTTTTTCATCCACAGGTCGTTCTACGTTTTTTGCTGGCAAGCTTGAACTGAGCCTCCGGACACCTCGGTAGGCTGTCGAATCAATCGACCATACAAAGACCCGTTTCTCACAACCTCAGAAGGACTCGAGACAGAGGGCCACAGCCGTTTGGGTCACTCCAAGCCGCGATGGCAAACGCTGGATGACAAGACTTGAGCATGGGGCCCACTGTGACGAGGCTGGAGAACAATGGCAAGTACCTCGGCTGCTTTCGCGTGCACTCCTAGAAGCGATGAAGCCCGAACTCATTGCAGCCAAGCGTCGCCTGTGCTCGGATGGAGCCCGTGTGCTCCTGGCATGACTCCACAAAGCTCAGGACTCCTGTGCAAGGGCCTGCCCCGCGAGTTTTGCGACTGCCCGAAGCTATGAGGGAGCGGTGCTGCCTACAGCGTCTGACTTCGTCCCAAGTCTCTCCGCGGCCAGAAGCTTCCAGAGCATGCAATATTCGAACACCTTCTCGCGACGCCTCTGGTTGGGAAAATGAACCGCGATGGGCGCATGCCCGTCTGGATGTTGCAGCAGACCATTGTGCCAGATCCAGTTGCCCCAAGCCACTTTACGCTGAGATGGGACACCGAAGGTGTCACTGCGATTTTGAAGAAGCTCGGTACCCAGTACCACACCAGCACCTCGCTGTTGAGAGTCCAGATCTACTAAGTCTGCCCATGCGGCTGTGGCATGCAAGCGTCCGGCCCACCACTGCTCCACTCCGGAGGCATACTGATCCCACCAGGGCACTGCATCCTGAACGGCTTGGTAGAAGCGCAGCACCTTGTCGGCCGGCCCTACTGTAAAGCCTGTGTTCAGAAACCTATTTGCGCCCGCCTGACTGGAGCCGTGTGTGTTTGGCCGCTGGCTTCGGAAAGGGTAGCAGCTCTGGCCATGCGAGTTCCGTTCCGCAGCTTTCGTTTGCTCGAAAGGCAGCTCCGGGCTGCCGTTGCAGAGGGACTCCGCGCTGATCCAGACGTTGCCGGGACGGGCGTTGGCGCGGTAGGCCTCCTTTAGGGCACTCGGGCCCTGCTGCAGGAAGGCATCATAGTCCAACACAAGCACAAGTTGATCGCCCAGTTTCGGGAGAAAGGAAACTAGCGGCACCAATTTCGAATAGAACGGACCACGCCAAGAAGTACCCAAGCCCAGGACTGTCAGTGGAGCATAGCCCTGCCAAGCAGCGGAAGCCTTGAGCCGTCGCAAGTATCCCGAGTCAGAGGTTGCCCAGGTCACCACGTGAACGGAATCGTCGATGGCCTTGCCAGCTTCGGCTGAATCGTAGTCGTAGCTTTCACTGTCCAGGAGGTCTGTACATAGCGGCTCCCTGTGCTCGAGGGTCACCAAGGTCACCCCAGCCAGAGAGAAAGCCACAGAGCAGACAAGGCAAAAGAGAAAGAAACTACGCAGACTCGGTCGGAAGACCTTCACACTGTACATCCTTCGGGGCTTCATGGCTGAAGAGTGCAGTTTGAGGAGGACAAAGAAGGAGGTCTATGATGTTCAGCACACCACGACATTTTCGAGCCCCTGAGAGGCCTCGCGGTGTTCGTTCTCTGGTGTACTTGGGCTATGTTTCCAATGTGTCAGTCCTCCAACTTCACCTCGGGGCCAGAGAGGTTGCGGTGGTCCCAGAGGCACACCTCAGGCGACGCGCCCGGATCTCTGAGTTCGCTCCAGCTGTGAAGATTGTCCAAGACTGGTGACTGGTGTTTCAAGGTATGGATTTCAGGCGTCCACACTCGCTGCAAGTAAAGAAGATACAGATTCGCTGGAAAGGGATCAACTTTACGAGAGACCTCCTCATAGCCTCAAAGCAGCTTTCACGCGGCTTCACATGTTCGCAGTACCAGCAAGCAAAGTCAAGCAAGCTCGCCACAGATCGAGACCAACGAACACCCGTACCAGGGAAGCTGACAGCGGACTTTCAGTGGAAGGCTGACGAACTGACATACTGAGAGCCCCTCAAGTCCCCAAGTGGAACGAACCCTAATTTCTGGGCGCCCTGCTGACCGATCCAAACTGCCGGTGGTGAACTTGAAAGTGCTAAGCTCCAGGAAAGTCGTGATCTCAGAGGGATTAGGGTTCGCTTTGGTCATTAGGGGTGGCTTCAGGCTCCTTTTGTTTTTCAGGCGAGGTTTTCAGCATGGCTCCAAGATTCGAATGCCCATAACATGGTGCACTTGTTATCCTCCTGTCTACAACCTGCAGCTGCGATTGCAACTGGGAGCCCATGCCACTTTGCTGTGAGCCTGCAAAACCTGGCGGACAGCCGACAGAGTGAACAGTCCACATCTCCCGTCACAATTCAACGACGCAAGCCAGCCACCGATTCCGTGCCCAGCCCGTGCCGACCCTAAACCCTAAACCCTAAACCTTCGGCCATCCACCCGGCCTTCGTCGGTGCGATAGTCGTCGCGATGCTGTGTTCGCGCAGATCCCACAAGAGAAACCTGAAAAGAGCTCGAAACTGCGGTTCTTCCTACCAGTCATGCCACGAAGCGACCCAGGCCTGCCGTTGTAGTCGGCCGTCACCCAGACCTTCATGCTGGCCTTGCATCACGGGTGGTGTTTTGGACCACGGATGAGCTGCAGACAGGCTCCCCGTTGTGGCTCCCAAGGCAGCGGCACTCCACCAGATGTCCAGCTGCTGCGCTGCTTCTGCTGCAAAGCGCCTCAGTTTCTTGGACTCATTTACCCTTTTTCTCGGAAAAGGTATGCCTGCAAAGAGCTGTCTCCAATTACGCAACTCCTAAATTCAAGCTGCTCTTTTCGCACTTTGCCTGGCAAAGGCCCAATCAAGGACCTCTAGGCGGTAGAGCACGAAGAAAGGCAGCGGCCACACAACAAGGCAGCATGCTGACTGCAGGGTACAGAAGAGCTCCCTGCTTGGAGGATCATGGAACTTAGTAAGCACCATGATCCTCCAAGTGGCTTTGTCATGGGCAAGGCGCTCCTCGCGCTTGTCACGCCGAGCTCCGGCTTCCGAAGGCTCCTGGCATCGCTGGCTCTCACAGCTCGAGGCCGCTTCTCTGTGCCTTAAAGGGTGCAATACAATAAATATATTATATAAAATAAAAACATATAAATTATATATGTATATGCTATTAATTATTGATTTTAGGAAAGCTTGTCCTTCCTGAATGCACCCAGGCCAACTCCCTTCCCCGAGCATCCAGCTGAAGCGCTGCTTTCATGGGCAAAGGCTCCTTTTTGCTGGGAGGATCCCGGAGGAGGTCCTGTCTCAACCCGCACCATGTATCTGTTCATGCTAGAGGAACTGACATGTGATACCTCAGGCTTGTCTCTCAGCTGACTCCATGAGAAAACTACCTGAGTTCGCGGCCCCGTTTTTGGGATCGAGCGTGCGAAGATGAACCTCGACACTGCACGGATGCACGGCGTAGCTTTCCCAGCGAATCAGGCAAAGGCAACCCTCAAAAGGGCCTGCCTCCCATTGGCTGATTTCGTGCGAAGAGGAGTTGCGGCCCTGCGCGCTGATCATGTTGTCCCCAAGGACAGCAGGCACGTGGACGGCACCATTAGACGATGCCGATTACAGTACCTGGTGAAACCCGTCTCCCGAGTGTCCTGAGACCGCGTGGCATGAAAGCGAAACTCCTTCTTCTGCTGGAACTGGCCCTGCGTTCGACCGCTGTGCCAGTTCCGGAAGGGATGCTGAAAGCTCCGTACGCTGGGTTGAACCGCAGCCGGCCTTGTCCCGGTTCCGGAGGCGCCAGAAGACAAGAAAGCGATTGCTCAGCAAGGCCACCAAGTCCTGGACCAAAGCATCCGCTTGGAGAGCCGACATGAAGCTCTAAGGACCTGTCGTCGTCTGGTGATTTACTTTACGTTGAAGTCCTGAGAGTCGTTGTCCCAGGCAACCGCATGGACAGTCCACAGTGGCCTTGGCCGATTCTAGGACTCCGCCTGAAGGATGTGAAGCTTTGCAGAGCTTTGGTAGGTCTTGGGTACAGGCTTCTGCCGCTCGTCGTAAAAATCTGCTGGCAGCTGAGGTGTGACCTCGACAAAGCCCTACCATTCGCCTGTTTTCTGTCTGCGCTGACTACACAGAGGACAACTTGGCAGCCGGCAACACGTGCTGTTTCCTAGGGCAGGATGAAGTGTTTCAGTGGTCACCGCCATCACATTTATAGCTTTGGTACTGCCCCCATACAGTAACATTCTATAATAGGGCTACTATTAAGGGCCTAATATCTCCATAATAAAAATAGCCCAAAGAAAGAACGAGCCAAGGCTCCCAAGCCATGAAAGGCGACCAGAAGTACACGGACTCCGTGCCCTCAACCTGTTCCGGCAAATATGCAGGTATCTTATGTTTGTATATGTCTGTATGTATGTATGTCTG